AACTAATACTTGGTATGGTTGGTGAGATATTGTAAAATTCCCAAACTATTATTTATTGATGTTCACAAAACTTTCCCCAACCTCGTTGTGTAACCATTAGAGAAATATAGTTGAAGATTCGAGGATCCACTTATGTTGTTAAATCAAATCCTTACTCATAATAGAAATCTCGACCATTGAAGTCCTCGTTATAACGTTGTCCCTACTCATTATCCATGAATCTAGTTACTTCCTCCGATAGAGCGAGTTGTTGTGGCACATATATAACAGGAAGCAGAGTAGGCATACAACCAGACTGCTTTAAGCTCACATTCTTTTTAGGGGCGATACCAGTATGTAGATATATGAGCAAAATGAAGGAGAGGGCAATAAGGGTTTTAGAATCATGAAGAAGAAGGTAAAGCAAATTGTAGTTAAAAGGTTGCATGAAAAAGGGAATAAAAATTATTTTGAAGTTTTGAAGGCTTACTATGGAGGGATAAGGATAAAATTTAAATGGGCAATTATGATATGGTAAAGTGGACAATGAAACATATAAGAGGGGTAAATGGTAAAGAACTCATACGTAGTTTTAGCGTAAGAACTTAGCTGGTTAACCTTGTAATATTGTGGCTTTAGTATAACAATGAAGTAAATAAGAATTTGAAGAGTTGCGTATCATGAAAGAGCTAACTGAGAATGATTGAATGAAAAAAAAAACTCAACAATAACCAAAAAATAATAAAAAAGAAAGTCCTAAAAAATAAATGTAAAAATTTTTTGACTTATTCAAAAGAGTAAAAAATTAAAAAATAATGAGGGTCACGTGGGATGATTGAAGCGATTTTAGGGCTGGTAATAATGCTTTAAATACTTCTCATTGACAATTAAATGTCCTTTCATCCACTAAATTGTTCAATAATATTGCACCATGAGGGAAAAATTCGAGAACTTCAACAGGGCCTGACCAACGAGAACATAATTTCCCAAGGAATAACTTTAGTCTGGAATTAAATAACAGTACTTGTTGTCCAGCAATGAATTCCCTTGGCAAAATGTTCTGATCATGCCACTTGTTACTCTTATCTTTGTAAATGTGTGAACTCTCATATGCATTATTTTAGAGTTCCTCTAACTTATTAAGCTCCAACATTTGTTTTTCGCCTGCAATATCTAGATCAAAGTCCAACCCCTTTAATGCCCATATAGCTTTATTCTCCAGCTCCACCGGTAAATGACAAACTTTTCCATAAACAATATGATAAAGGGACCTTCCTAACTGCGTCTTAAAGGTTGTCCTATAAACCCATAATGCTTCTTAAAGGTGTTGCGACCAATCTTTCCTAGAAGGTTCACCACTTTTTCAAAAATTTGCTTCATTTATTGATTAAACACTTCATCTTGAGCATTGGATTTTGGATGAAATGTTGTTGCAATCTTAAACTTCACTCCATATCTATTCAATGCTCTGGTAATCTGATGACCAATAAATTGAGATCCTCCATCACTGATAAAAGTAAGAGGAGTTCTAAAATGAGTGAAAATATTTTTGTGTAAGAATCGCAAAACAATGCTACAACTCCCACCCTTTTGGACATAGAGTCAAGAGAAACTAAAATAAAAAGGTCCCACTTGAAGAAGGTTATGAGCCCATAAAGTCTAATCCCCACACATCAAATAGCTCAATTTCCAAGATATGTTGCATTGGCATTTCATTTCATTGAGAAATATTCCCTGTTCGCTAGCAGTAATCACAATGCTTTACAAACTCATTGGCATCTTTAAAAAATGATGGCCAATAATATCCACATTAAAGCACTTTCACTATTGTATGCATACCACCAAAATGTCCTTCATATGGGGGGACTATAACTATGTTGTAGGATGAGTTGTTGTTCACATTGAGGGATACATCGCCACATAACTTGATCATTGCATTGTTTAAATACATATGGCTCCTCCCAATGAAATTTCTTCATATTCCTCATGAATTTCCTTCGACCTTGATAATTAAGATCATGTAGTATCATCCCACTAACGAGATAGTTGGCAAAATCATCATACCAGAGTAATGTTATAGCGGTTAGCAAACCCTAATTAGGTAATTCATCTAGAATTATGATAATGTTTCCATCTTCGCTGCCAGATTCCAATATAGATAAATGATAACCCATTTAATTTTAAATCTCTTTTTATCCTGAATCTTAATATTAAATTCGTGGAGTAAACGCACTCATCGAATCAAACGAGGTTTTCTATCCTTCTTGGAAAACAAATTCTTCAGCATCGAATGATCAGTATAGACAATCACTTTTGTACCCACAAGATATGAACGAAATTTGTCGAATGCAAAGCTTTCGTTACCCAATACTACACCTACAACAAAATCTCTAGGATCTCACATTGATTCAAAGGGCAAATTCCAATCAGGATCCATAATAACAGGGGTTTACTTTAACTTTTTATTTATTGTCTCGATAGATTGAAGCACTTATTCATCAATAATGAACTTCTTATTTTGGTCTAACAATGAACACAGTGGCTTAGCAATTCAAGAGAAATCTTTAATAAACATTCTATAGAAACCAACATGACCAAGAAAGATTCGAATTGCCTTGACATTGGTAGGTGTTGGAAACTTTTCAATAACCCCCACTTTGGCTTTATCCACTTCAATGCCACATCTTAAAATTTGATGATCTGGCACTACACCTTTCATTACCATAAAGTGGCATTTTCACAGGAAAAACTAATTTGGAAAATATTGCATAGGGCTAACCCAATTGTTGTCTGAAATGGGGTATATATTCCCAACGTCCAACCATTTGATAATCTCTTTTCTCACCACTTCCTTCATGATAGAATTTAATCATCGTTGATGTTCGATTAGGATTCTTTTAGGTTCCTCCAAAAGGATTTTATGCATACAAAATGATGGGTAAATTCTTTTTTTATCAAGAATGCTCCAGCAATAGCCTTCTTATGATGCTTCAATACATAATCAGTTGGCCTTCTTGTGATGTTGTAAGTTGTGCTGCCAGAATGTCTGGTAGTGCCTCATTTTCTTAAATATATGCATATTTCAAATTCTCTGGTAGATGTTTTGATGCAAACTTTGGTGTTCTTTAATAGATGGCTCTGGTGCTTGAAGAATATGATCATTCATTTACTAAGGTTCAATGCTCTATAGATACTTGTTACAACATTCATCTTCTTCATCACTCAAAAATTCCTCGAATGTTATTAAATCACGTGAAGTTGTATCAACGCTATAGCACATTTCCAAATGTTCACGTGTAAAAAGATCAATCACATCAAGTGAAAAAAAATCAACGTTGTCATTTATATTAGAAACATTACTCAAAACATTAAAAGTATTATGCTTATCGTTCAAGTGCATACTTAATTATCCCTTTTTCAACATCAATCAAAGCTCGACCTATAGGAAGGAATGGGTGGCCAAGAATAGTTGGACCATCTTTGTCCTTTTCACAATCCAAAATGATGAATTCCGCATGAAAAAATACACTTATCCACTCGCACAAGCATATTCTCCATAATACCACTAGGATGCACGGTAGATCGATCAACATGTTGCAAAGTAATCATAGTGGGCTCGCTTTACCGCTCCCAAATATCCTAAAGATTATCAATGGAATTAAATTCATACTATCACCCATATCACATAAACCTTTACCTACAAAATTGTCACCAATTTTAGAAGGAATAGTAAAACTCCTTGGATCCGTAAGTTTTGGTGGCAATATACTTGTAGCCATAGCGCTACAACCTTTGGTAAGAGCAACTGTCTCAAACTCACCAAGTGTTTGTTTCTTCGAAAGAATTTTCTTCATGAATTTGATATAGTTTGAGTTTTTCTCTAAAACATCAATCAATGGAATGTTAATTGTGAATTGGTGATAAATATCAATAAAAGCATTGTATTGGTGGTCTTAATTTGTCTTCTTGAAGCACTGTGGAAATGGTAGAGGCATTTTTGGCTGTTGTTGTGGAGGCATTGAAGTCAGGGGAGCTTAAGGTGCAACAAGGGTTGCTATTAAAAATGATTATGTATTACTACTTTGGCATGCGTTTGGTGCTGTGAACCGACTCTCATAGAAGTTAGGCTTAACTTATTTACTTTTCTCTTTACCACATTTATATGTTACATCATTATTTTCCCTTTGGTTCGTCAATTGGTTCCCTAATATGAATTCCACTTCTTGTGGTAATGGCCTTGCAATAATCCTTACCATTTTGCTTAGGATTCTCAGTGTCATTAGGAATCGATCATGGCAATTGACTATTTAGAGCATTAGCTATTTACCTCATCTGATTCTCTATAGCCTTTAATGAGGTAGATTGGCTCACCATATATTCTCTCATCTTGGCTTCAAAAGGGGTTAAGGTTAAAGTTTGTCTAGAAGATTGACTTTGATAATTCTTCTTTTGCTGTGGTTGAGTGACAGACTGATGTGCCTATGGTTGCGTTATTTGATGCTACTAAGAATAATGTTGATATTGATATTACTATTAACATGGATTGGTAACATTGTGGCTTCTCTAATAAAGATTTGGATGATTTTTAAATTTGGATTATATGCATTGCCAAACACATTATCATTACTTTGATAATTTTGCACATAATAGATATATTCTGGATTTTGAGGGCATTCATCAAAATCACGGTCACCATCACAATATACCCAAGTGATAAGAGTTGTGGCTTTGACTTCATATATTTGTCATGGTTTGTGTAATATTTTCACTGTTTAAGTCAATGTTGAAATTTGAAATGCTATGGAGTTAAAGCTTCAAAGTTTTCTGCTACAGTACCACACCAACCAAATATGTTACGCGTATTAGGGTATTGAAAATTATTTGTGGAGATTATTTCTAAAATATCATATGCTTCATTATATGTCCTATCTAGCAAAGCTCCATTTGCTAAAGCATCCACCACTATACGAGTCTGTATATTCAACCTATTATAAAACATCTCCAATTGAGTCCAATGTGGGAATCCATGTATAGGACATTTCCGCTACAAATCTTTAAATATTTCCCATGTTTCATACAAACTTTCATCTTCCAATTGTTTGAATGAAGTTAAATCATTTCAAAGCTTAGCATTCGTGTTTAGGTGGATTGAACGGCAATAGGAATTTTTATGCTAATTCATTCCAAGATGCTATAGCACTTGGTGACAATGAGCTTAACCAAACTCATGCTTTATCATGCAAGGAATATGAAAAGAGCTTCAACTTTAATACCTCCTCTAGAATACCTTGCTGAATAAAAGAATCATATACCTCCATAAACACTCTCAAATGAGCTGTAGGATCTTCAAAAAAGTATCCTCCATACTATCCCATGGATTGTTAACTTTGGAACATAACTATTTTAATTCAAAATTCACAACATTAACAACTGGCCTCACGATGCTTGGATGTAAATCATCTAAGGTCTACACCACATGCTCACGAATAGGGTGATTATGATCATCAAAATTTTGATATGGTTGCCCAGCTCCAATACTAGCTGTCAGTTCATCATTTTCTCCATTATGTAGCGGGGGTAAAATACAATTCCCTCATACATCGATAGCAGCTTCACGATGACATCTCTGAAATTATCTTTCATTCTCTATATAAAATGACTCCAAGTCATCTTCGCTTTAGGGCATATACTAGAAATAAAAACATAAACGAAGAATACCTACAGAAAAAACAAACAAGTAAACAAAATTAAAAGAACTCTAAATCAAACCGAGGCTCCCCGACAACGGTGCCAAAAACTTGATGCTATGTAAGATGCTATAGCATTTAATGTAAGTTTACAAATCACTCAAGTAATAAAGTGGTACCAGTTAATTCTACAAATGTCAAACCTAAAGGGAGTAGAGTGTTCTCATTTGAGTTTGTAGGAATATAATTTATCAAATATACAAGATGCTAAAGAGAATATGTTAAATCAATAAAAGAAAACACCAGTTCATACTACATTATTCCAGGAAGCACGTGGTCAACTATCAAATCGATGGATATAATATTATAAACTTTAAATCGCATGCAAACATTCAACACTCAATTTAAGCGACCAACATTGATTAAAACCTCTTGAACTATTTTCACCAGTTTCGTATCTTAAAGGCTGAATATATTAAGAACACTAATCAATTAGTTGCATGCTTTTCAGCATACACTATGCTACTCAGCAACACCAATAATCACAAAGGTATATAGCAAATGAAATGAAACTATTTCTAGATTTAATAAAAAATACTATATATTTAATTATAAGTACTTCTACCCACAATCATAAAGATCTAAGCTCATAAAATGAGTATCAAAGTAAACATAAAATATAAAATTCGAAATATCATCCAACAAAGGTTTAAGCTTTTAAATCAGTTACTCTCTCAATGGAAGGCCTCTAATGAAGATCCACTAACCGTTGAAGCTACCCATCAAGCTTCCCTTGTGCTATAACAATCCATGGAAGAAGACTTAGGCTTCCATACGTTGGAGATTTAACGTGGAGAATTGGGACTTGAAAAGGCTCTTGAACATCACATTTTTTGTGCTCAAGTACTTCTTTTTTATAGCTTGGATGGGAATTTCATCTCCCAATAAAAAATGTCCACAATTCAAGCGATATACAACCAAATAACAGTTGCTCGAGCAAACTGTACCAATCTAGAATGTTCTCCCAATAGCATGGAGATTAGACAACTTTTACATCATTCGATCAACATTTCCTGCAATGTTGCGGCATTAGTGTAATAGTTTTCAACAGAAAAAAATGATTTTAGCCCTTAGCAACCCACAATGCTCCTATAATGCAAAATGTGTAGAACCAAGTAATTTTAATCCTAAAATGCTCCTAAGCATGCTCAAGTTCAAGCTAAACCTAGGAGAAAAAGGTTAATAAATATAACTCTCTTGGAGAATTACTTATGCATGAAAATCATCACGTGATAAGTATAACTTGGTGTGACAATAACACAACTAAGGTGAGATAAAACATAAAATGTCATAATAAACTTGAAATAGAAAAAATATAAATCATTAAAATTTAAAACAGAGCAATTCAAGGTGATTTCCTTTTCGGAAACCTGAAAATCATCATCTAATGATTTTATCAAAAATCATGTAAATCAACATCAGATATAACAAACATATCATGTTCTTTTCATTCATACATATTTCAAAATTTTATTTTCATCTCACATTATTTTCATTCATATACTTTTCATAACTTTCACATTTACTTTCATAACCCAATGTATATGAAAGAGAATGCTAGGTACTTGAGTTAGACAAGTGTGCACAATAAGCACTTCACGGTGCTATCATCATAATCATAATATGCACTCCAAGTACATTCATATCATTTACACCAACAGTGCTACACATTATGTACAAAATGTACCAGATCAAAATTAGAATCCCTCAAACTCATGGCATGTCAATTGTATCTACGATTCTCAAAATTATGAATCAATATTCTATTTCATAATCATTTTCTAATTATTATCATAAAATTCATAATTTGGGAAATTCATACCCTAATCATTCATAAAACTTTATAAAAATTATGAAAAAATCAATAATTAAAATAGAAAACGTACTTTAAAATAATATGAGGTTGACTTATCACAAGCCGACTTAGAATTGTTAAAATGCATAGTTCTAAGAATTGTTAAGATATAATATTGAAAATACTAAGCGTGTCATCTAGGATGCACTAGTGTTATTGTGAAAAATAAAGATGGGCCTATGCAATTATGTATGGATTAACGTCAGTTAAATAAGGTAATATGAAATAAAAAGTATCATCTTCCAAGGATTTTTGACTTTTTGATCAGTTTAAAAGGTGCATTAGAGTTTCCCAAGATGAATATTCAATCTGAATATTTTTATATTAAAGGTAATAAAGAATATATTCCTAAGATAATTTTCATAATTCAATATGGGAACTAGGAGTTGCAATAATGTCGTTTGGTTTAACGAATGCTCTTGTGAAATTTATGGAGTTGATAAATTGAGCATTTCATTTATACTTTGATTAATTGGTTGTAGTGTTCATTGCTGATATTTTGATCTATTGTAAGACCAAGGAAGAACACGATGCATATCTTTGTATATCTCTTCCAACTCTTAGGAAGAAAAGCGGTATGCTAGTTGACAAAGTGTAAATGCTGGTTGTCTAAGGTTGTATTCTTTGGCCGTGTGATCTCGGCTGAGGGGATAAGAATATACCAAAAAATAAAGTACAAGCCATAATAAGTTGATAAATTCCAAAGAGTTTTTCCAAAATTTGAAGTTTCTTGGGATTTTTTGGTTGGTATTGAAGGTTTATAAAGAATTTTTTTATGATTATTTTACCTTTGACCAAGCTATTAACGAAGGATGTGTCATTCATTTGGACTGATAAGTGACAAGAAGTTTTAAGATGTTAAAAAGAATACTGACATAAGATCTAGGGTCAGTAAAATCATAATCTGGAAAAGATTATGTGATTTATAGTGATGTGTCCTATAATGGTTTGGGATGCTTTCTCATGCAAGAGAAAAATTTAGCACTTACGCTTCAAAGCAACTAATGAGTCATGAAAGATATTATTCGACTCATGTTCTTGAGTTAGTAACAATTGTGTTTACTTCATGGACATAATCCCACTATCTATATGGTGTGTGACGTTGTATCTATACATATCTTAAAAGTCAAGGGTGTGAGTTAACTTGAAGGTGTGAAAATAAAGAAAATAGATTGCATTCCTTAGAGGAATGATGATGCGCCTATCGACTACCACCAGGAAAGGCTAATGTGGTGGTTGATACGATAAAATCGATAGACATTTATGCTTTGATTGTAAACTAAATTTAAAGCCTATGTTGCTAGATCGAGTAAAAGGATTTTCAAAGAAAAGATAAAAATTGTTGTGCTTGACAAAGATAGAACGAGTGAAAAAGAAATTAAAACCAAAGACCTGGAAGTTAAGTCTGTTGGATGCTTATATTATCGAGAAAATAGTCTATATAAGTGGCAGGTATGAAAGGAGCTATTACTGAGTTAGTTTCTAAATGCTTGATATGTCAATAGGTTAAAATAGAGCATCAAGTTCCTTCTGGATTATTGTAATTGATTTCCATCCCTTAGTAGAAATAGAAATGAGTTATAATGGACATTGTAATAGGTAAAGATTATTTAAGATAATCTCACGATAACTGCCGATCAATATAAGTCTTATTCATATTTAAAGGGAAAAGATATATTCTATTAATGTGGTGATCAGTGATTCTTAAAGTATCGATAAGGTTCTTCTCATGTTATCACACCAGTCGATATTGTGATTCAGTCAAAATTTGACTTATGAATGAATCAATACTTATTACAGCTTGTTAGAGAAATCGAAAGCTGAAAAGTGTAGTATCCTTATGTTTTTAGAGCAGGTATTTTTAATGGGAAGAATTGTAACACCCCAAAATTTTGGTTAGTGACCAAAATGTAAATTTTGACAATTTAGTAGCCAAAGTTAAAAGTTTGGAAAAGTTCAAGGACCAAAAGTGTAATTTCCAAAATTTAGGTGTTTTGAACCCATAAGTGAATACTTCACCCCCAAAAATGAAGTTCTAGTCTGAAACAAATTTTTGATTCGTAATTTATGTTAAAAGCGAGAAAATGTTAAAGTTCGATCAAATTCATTAAATCGGATTGAATAAAAATTTTGAGAAAATTGAAGGATATTAAAATAATATTAGAAGTATTATTTCCACATTTTAAAATTATGGAAAATAATACGGATCGTTGGATTAAAGTGGACATATTGAAATTTTTGGAAAGTTGCATGGATAAAATGGTAAAGGGTATAATATTTTTTCCATATTTGAATTTAGAAAGATGATAAGGGTTATGTGGCTTGGTATGTATGTAAAATCTAGATTCATTGATGTTAAAATTGTCAATTCATATTAAATGAATTTTAAATTCATTTAAGCTTAATAAATGACATGTTAACATGAAATCACTTAGAAATTTGATGAGACACACTCAATTTCAAGACTCTATTTCGTGCACCCCATGAACTAGGTAAGAAAAAAATTAATTTTCATTTTTGAGCAAT